AGAGCTATTCTGCTAACTCCCTGGGTGTGCCTGGCTGCTTCAGGTAGGCTCATAAAGAGCAAACAGATGAGTTATGTTTTTCTTACATCTGCTTTGAATCAGTGAAAGAGTTAATTTTAATGGGAATGTGCAAGACTTGTAGTGTATGTGTTAGGGATTAAGACCAGCTATTATAAATTGTCAGTCTATAAGCCACCAGCCACTAGCTCACATTGCACTTTGACCTTGTCTTTATATGTAACAGGAAAGAGCTGTTCTCAGCCCAGACCGGAGGGGACCGCTACGGCTGCGGGAGCTGCTGGCGACTGGGCACAGGCACTATTTGTCACGTTAGAGATGGATAAGCTCTTTGCTAAAAACAAAGAAGAACATCCAGAGCCCATAAAAGCTGAGGTGCAAGGTAAGCGAAAGAAAATCGGGTCTAATATGTGTGGTTACTTAGGTGTTTTCAAATGTGTAAACACTGAAACACTTGTTCACCCCTGACAACACTGAAAAGGGAAGCTGAGAAAGCGAGAAAGTGAGTTTTGTTTTACAGGGCTGATCCCAGATAACGTTTGTACCCCAGCTGTGGGATTTTTGTCACTTGTAGGGCATTTCTGTGTACTTTTTCAAGAAGTCTGTTTGAACAGGATTCCTTGAAGCCGGTGGTGAGGGAAGTCTCGGGATTTAATCTGGTGACACCCCTTCCCCCATGGCTCTGCTCAGGCTTTCGGTTTCGCCTCTCGGTAACCCTTCCCTGCCCTCCCTCTGTCCGCTCACACTCTGCCTTGCCTGCTGGAGAAAGTCACTAAAATTGGGACTTCTCAACAACAGTATTTCTAAATAGAAAAGCAACACTAGTGGATGCCACCGTACTGTTAAAAAGAGGGTTCAGAAGTTAATCCAGTAAAAACTGCGGAGTATCCTTCAGCGAGGCAGTTAAAAGTGCCTCTCTAGGGATGAACGCCTCATCCATCTACGATTTTTACTACTTTTTTACCTTACAGAAGGATTTTTTGTTATGGCTACAGGAAAGTTTTGTTACTGAGACTCCCGATTTAGTAAATATACGCTGCATTGTTTGTAATACATAGTCCAAGAAATGGAGGCAGCTAATACCAATTTTGAAGTCACTTCCTAAAAAAAAACACTTAAAAAGACAACAGTTAACACTTGCATGACTTTGTTGTTGTTCAGTTTGGTGATGGAATTGGAAAAGATTTTGTTTCAAGCAGATGAAGTGCTGTGCTGTAATTTGTGTTGGGTTTATGCATTTCAATTTTTCTTTGCTTGAGATAAAAGGTTATTATTGGAACATTTGAAGTTGTTTGCAAACTAACCGTTTATCAGACCTGGTCCGTGTTGTGGAACGGTTCATTTGAACAAAGACTGCAGACTTCAGTAAATAAAGCAATGTATACAAAATATCCCTCATTGGTGATGAATATCCTTCATTGGTGATGATGATTCATTATTTAGCACTTATGAAAACTAAAAGAACATTGACCTCTTTAAATATTTTGCTAGCCCTGAGCTCTGCCAATGTTTTGGCCCTTTGTTTCTCAACATGCACATGTTGAGAAATATGACTACATACATTGAACTTCCGCTGTGATTTAACCCGTGCTCTCCTCAACTGTACAGCCACGTGATTCTATGAAAGTCTGTTGCTGTGGCAGGCAGTAAACTTCCAAATATTTGGAGATTTTACTGTGTCACTTTTGTGTCCTCACATGGTATAGAAAAGTATCGTTATTTCCACTTCAGATAAAGGTCTTGAACAAAAAAGACGCAAGGTCCAGGTTTTTAAAGCTATTTGAGCACTTTAAGATACCCAATCAGCATCCTAATGCTATGCATTTATATAAATATATATATGCATACCTAATGCTATGATTTACAGAAATTCTAAATTCCCACTAAGATGAATATTTCTCTGAAAACCTCTCTAAATGACTCTTTACTCCATGCTTTTCATACTGAAATTATGCCAGAAATTATAGGGAATTATACCAGAGTTGTCAGCAGCTGCATCAAGTCCACAGTGCCTTAAAAAGAAGATCACCTTTTTTTCCCCTGTTTATCTCTTCCAGCAAAATTATTTTTTTGGTCTATCTTGGAGCTTTTTGAGCATCATTATTCTGATATGGAGGAATAATCTCTAAACAAATTTTTTAGCCCTAGGACCTGCAAGATGTTCTCTGAATTGCAGAAGTATCTGTTTTTTTTGCTGATGGCCCCCAAAGCAGAAGATAGTCTTACTGGGTCAAAATCCCACAAGACCTCATCTGCAGAAGTATTACATTTTCACTGCAGGGAAATAAGGGCTGGTTGCAGCAAGGTCACATGCAGTCAGCCCAGCTCAGCTTTAGCAGGAGTTTGTTGGGGCATGACCAGCCCGTGCTCGTTGCAGAGATTTAAAATGAGAAGTGGCAGTGGTGGGAGGGTGGGAGCACAACAGAGTACACAGTACACTGCAGCTACCCAGAGTACTGGAGAAACAGCAGAGCCTGCAGTCTTCTATTGCCACGTAACAGAAAGAGAAGTGGCAAGAAGAGAAACTCTTGTATTTTAGGCATTAAAGACTAAACTTGTTCAGCAATTAATGTTCAGTACTCAAGCAAAAATTATGGATCTATTTCAAATATATGCTTTCTTAAGATCATAATCTTATTTCCTCTGAAGGATTCTTTTCTTCTGCTAACTTTTCACTATCTTCTTAACTATTTTTAGTTACCCAAGATTTATTCAGTTATCTGTATTAAATGTTCAACCTTGTTCTTCTTACACAAAAAAGTACTATAATTATTGAATTGGTACTTCTTATACTAGAAAGGCAGGTAAGGTTTGGTTTTCAAGACTCTTCTAGAATGTAATAATAATAATAATGATGATGATGATGATGATGATTATGTATATCCTTTGTTTTTTTAATTTTTTATCTTCCTTATGTATTCTAGAACTGTAACCCTAATGAAGTTGTGTGAGTACTGTGGCATACAATATTAGTTGGTTAGAATGTAAAGCTGACATTTACTCCATATCTTTCCTTTGCATTCGGATGGTTTTCCCTTGTGTCCTTAATGTCATTTGTTTGAAGAAATGGGAAATGTCCTTGTCTGCCTTACCTGAAAAGGTCAACATTCAGGAAATATTCTCTAAGAAAGTGGCCAAAGTCCCTTTAGGATCTCAGAAAGTCTTGCAGAAGAACAGTTGTTACCACCTCTCTACAACTACGTGAGCTTTGACAAAATCAAATATTTCCATGGGAGGACATTTTTATATGTTGTAAAGGGAGCATTAATAAGAAACTGTGTCAACATATTCACCATGAGGTCACAAATTAAATGATAAGGAGAAATAAAAGGTCTGAATAGGTTTTTATGCAGAGACAATGTTCAGTGCAGGAATTGTGTGGAAAAGTACTATGTGATCTTAAATACCCCCTCAGGAGACATACTCACAAAGAAGCAAGTGAAGCTTTTAATTTAATATCTGATATGCTTTTGTTCAGCTCTTTAACCCTAATGACATTCAATTGTTGTTATTCTGTGTATCAAAGGGGAGGTAATGTATTTCTTGTGGGGGAATTGATGAGTAACTTTGCCTTCAAACCTCAATGGTGTTTATGTATTTTCAGTATAATATTCCCACCCTTTATTTGTGTTTAAAACACCAACATTCTGACTAATGTGTCACAGAAGCACTCCTAAAATGACACTATATTATGTTGTGTAATTTAATTAATGAAACTTTTACTGGAATTCATTTAGCCTGAAGTTTAAATTGATGTACTGAAGGCCAATGCAAGTCATATATTCTATAAAATATGTTTATTTCTGATAAGCTGTAGCTTTTCCTGGCATGAGTAAAAGTGTTCGCGTGTGTCATTTTAAAATCTGAGTGCAAGAAAGAAAGATCCAACTTCATTTAATTCCTGATATTTAGTAAATCACATTCCAGTAAGCTCATCTTCTTATAGTAATCTCATATAGCATTATTCAATCAGGTTATTACTCATACCACATTTTTGAGCAGGTCATATTTTCATTACCTAAAATTCCAATGTAATTATATGCTATTACAGATCTGTAATCAGTCTGCCTGTGCCCTAAGGAAAATTGTCCTGCAGCATGCCCCTCACCTAACTGAGGGGATACTGATGTCTCCTTTTTGTCTACAGGTCAGCTGCCCACTTGGTTGCAAGGGATACTTCTCCGAAACGGCCCAGGGATGCACACCATAGGGGACACTGAGTACAACCACTGGTTTGATGGCTTGGCTCTGCTGCATAGCTTTACATTTAAAAATGGTAAGTTGTTGCACATGAGATTAAAAAAAAAGCTCAACAACCCAAATCTTGGTGCCTTACGTTGCTAATCTGCTTTGACTTTGATCAGTGTTAGAATGTTGTGGGTTATGTCTGCAGAGTGGCATGTGAGGGGAGGTGGTAACTTCTTTGGGGAAGGTCTCTCCAAGCACACACTCCCTGCTCTCTCTCCACAGCCCAGCAGGAGTACCTCTGCAAGGCTGTTACCAGAGACAGATTATGTTGTCCTGTTTTCTGGAGTGCCCGAGTTCAGCATTATCTGCACTGCAGGAGAGCCTGCAAGCAGCTCTGAGCAGGTCACTGCAGGCCAGCCTTTGCCTTCCACCCAGAGCAAGAAAACTCTATAGATCCAAACTGGATCAATCAAAAGTACTGTAATATCCAGAGGTTTTTCTGTTGTGGATGAACAGCCTAGTTTCAGAGAAGACTAACATTGCCCTTTTGGGATTTGGCTGCAGCTGTAGCAGCTGCCAGCAGAGAAACTGGGCCACTGTGTCACTTCAGATATCAAACCTCACTTATGTATACTTGCCACCCTTACAAGCAGTCCCCCTACTTGTCATCCTTATGGAGGGAAAACAGGCAGCTCCTCTATGCAAAACAATTGTGGATTTCTGTTTTCAGTCAAAGCATTTTTTATCAGTTCAATTCTTTTACAGTGTGTGGCAGGATGTTTTACAGCTAGATTTCTCCTGGAAA